TAGGGTTTTAGGGGTTTAGGGTTAGGTTCTCACTTTTGAATGAAGGGGGCCGCCCTCGTTGTTCCAATCAGCAGAGCCGCTGACTGCCAGGACGAATCTTCGGTTTAGTATAGCGACTGTAATGATTCGAAGCGTGGTCTTCCGACTGTGTCAGGGAGGAACAGAACCTTCAACAAAAAAAAGCCTTAAATCTTCAACCCTAAACATTACACTCTAAACTGAGGCCCTGAACCCTAAACCCAAAGCCCCAGCCCCAGCCCCTAAGGAATAATGCTAGTAAGTCTCCCGACCTCACAGTTTCCGCAGGGTCGCGGCTTGAGGCATCCCTTACAGCGCCCTTAGCCCTAAACCCTAAACCCTAAACTTCCTAAACCCTAAAACCCTAAACCCTTAGAATACCCTTAGCCTTCGAAGGGCTCTTATAGTACCCTATCAGAGTACCTTTATAAGGCCAAGGCCTGAGCTTGTGGGAGAGGCTCCATTGACGCTTAAGCGGGAGGGAGCACTTGGGGTTTTACCGGGTTTAGGGCTTAGGGGGCTTAGGGGGGTTTGGGGTTTAGGGTGTAGGGTTGAGGGCTTAGGGATTTAGGGTTGAGGGCTTAGGGGGTTTAGGGTTGAGGGCTTAGGGGTTTAGGGTTGAGGGCTTAGGGGGTTTAGAGCGTTTCGGGTTGAGGGGCTTGGGGCGTAGGGTTGCAACAGTCCCATCGCCTCACTGCCTTCGCGACGCACGGCCCAGGAAGCCAATGCCCATCTCGCCGCGGAAGCGATGGTCCCAGCGGCTGTCTCGGCTTGGGAGGCGGATTGAAAGATGCTTGCTTTAGGGCTGCCTTCTTTACGGGCCCTTGTAGGTTTGCGAGGCCCTACTCTGTGGTCACAACGGGGTGAGATTGCCATAACCCCTACACCCCAAACCCCTAAACTCTAAACCCTAATCCCTAAACCCCTAAACCCCTAAGCCCCGAACCCTGAACCCTGAACCCTGAACCCCTAAACCCTCACCCTGAACCCTAAACCCGAAGCCCTGAACCCGAAAGAGTTAGGCCACTACCGAGCGGCACTCCTCTGAAGGCTCTCTCCTTGGCCCGAGAAGCTCGGGACGATGATGGCCAGTGTGAAGCATTGCACGTAATGGCTCTCCTCTTCCTGTTTTTCGGCAGGAGAGGGGTTTTTTAGAAGCAGAAGAGGGGCGTTCTTAAAAAAACACACTCTTCCTGTTCTTCGGCAGGAGAGGGCCTATTAAAAACAGAAGAGGGCGTTTTTAAAAGCCCTCTTATCCTCTTCTTGCTGTTCGGCAAGCAGGGAGGGGGACGGTTTAGGGTTTAGGGTTTAGGGTTTAGGGTTTAGGGTTTTTCGGGTCCGTCGCACTCTTCCTTGCAGGAGCGCAGCCAGAAAAGCGCTGCAAGAGGCTTCGAAGGGTGACTCGCCCTTTGCATCTCTGGAGTCCTCGAACCAAACAGCCGCGCTTCTCCGGAGGCTTGGGGACAAGGAGCCTTCTCCTAAACCCTAAACCCTAAACCCTAAACCCTAAACCCTAAACCCCTAAACCCCTAAACCCCTAAACCCTAAACCCTAGGCACAGCAAAGCCTAAACCCGGAAGGCCCCGCAGGCCTTCCTCCCCCTTACACTCTAAACCCCTAAGCCCTAAACCCGAAGCAGCAAGCCCAAACCCCCCGAAGGCCGCAAAAGGCCCCAAAACCCTCAAACCTAAACCCTAAACCCCTAAACCCTAGACCCCTAAAAGCCTAAACCCTAAACCCTAAATCCCCTTGAGCCCCTATACTATATCACAGCCAGGAGGGAGAGGCTGCAGCGATGCTCTTTGGCGTTGCGGAAGCCCGGCTGGAGCAGGGAAACGGCCTCGAGGCCCAAGGGGCTGCGCGCCGTGCGCAGGAACTCTTCCGTCAGCTCCGTGGCGCAAGTGGGAGTTTCCGAAAATTAGGGTTAGGGTTTAGGG